CGGGCCCGACATTACTGGCCGGTGCATATATCTGCAAACGAAAATTTCCCCTCAAATCTTCACTGTCTGTATCAGTGGGTGCTCAATTCTAAATACCCGCTTACTGTTGCCCTAAGAATCAGCAACATCAGAAGCTAAACAGTACCTGTGAACGTGATAAGCAATCAGCGGTAAATTCCAACAGACGCCGCCGAATTGAAACGATAATGCGAAAAGGAAAGTGAAGAAAAAATGAAGCAAGTACTCCGGCAACACCAGCTGAAAATGGAGTTAAGAGGAAATAACAGAAGTTATTCGCCTCCCGTCACTAGACATTTATGACTAAACGCAAGCCTCCTAGACAGCCAAAATATGCCCAGGAAAAACGACCTGTCGCGAGAGCTTTGCGAAGAGCCGGGAACAGCAAAAGAAGCAATCCAAAGGATATTTGTATAAGCTTCGCATACATGTAAGACATCAGTCGTCCGCAGGGAAGCACAACAGCTCGTGGAATAATGATTTAAACTTCACGCAACTATGGTGCTGTCCCTTCCCCTCTGTACCTTTGCAAAACATTCACAAAATTACTGATTAACGTACATCAGACCATGATCAGCAAGACCGCCCACCCAGACATTCAGCCTATCATATATTATAGAAAATACTGAGACTGCGCCCGGATAACTGGTAAAGGAATTGTGTTTTAGTAATGTTACTGAAAAATATACAGTTACGCCAGGCCTGGGATATACACCTTCAGTTAGCACCTGCTGCCTGTTCTATGTATAATAACTTCAGAGGCAGCCAGAATTGTCGCTTAGTTTCCCGGAGGTACCATCCACTAATATGTGACGCTGCACAGCAAAAACGCATTAAAATAGTTGGCCAACATACGGGCTGTCCTTGCGAAGATGCGTTTTTTGCACAGTTCCCCGCAGTTTTTGTTGCTGCCCGCGCCGGCTTTTTCGGCAAATACTTTTAGCTAAACAAATTAAAACTGGCCGCCATCCAGCATAAACGCATATTGTCGAAAGGCTGTCTGTGTGTGTGTGTGTGTCACCGGCTGTCGGCAAGGTAAGCCACATGCTTTGTCTATTGGACTGTATTTTCCCGCGAGGTGGCAGTGATCTGATGAACAGACTGACTATTTCTGTGGTCACAAAAAGACGAGCCAAGCCTGTTTCGCTCATCATTTTCTTCGTCACAGCTTTCGTCGGTAGCTATGCTTAGTCCGGTGCCCAACAGATGATAAGTCTGGGTCGGAATTTTGTAAAAATCAATCATACCTTAGCAGTGATAAATACAAATAAAAAGCCTATGCAGGCAGCACCTACCTGATTGAGACCTCTACACTGCTCTATGGGATTCTTATAATCCGTCTTCAGTTCATCGATTGAGATAACCTGA